AGGTCTTTCCGGCCTCGACACGGTGCACCCTGACTATGTCGGCGCCAAGATGATGCCCAGCCACATATCATCTTCATCGATCTTGAAAAGAATGCAATCAATATTACTGATAAAAATAGAGAGTAGTTGTATACTGGCTGGGTACAACAGCAACGACCAAAAATGGACAAAAGGATTTACACCGTTCGGGAATCGAACCCGAGCCGCTTGCTATCACAAATGGAAGGCAAGCATGATAACCACTTCACCAACGGTGTTGTGTTGTTTGAGCGTCTCATTATGCCCTATCTAAGCAGGTCAAGGCACGGAAGAAGGCAGCAGAGATTTGTAGATTGAGGGGATAACGCCCGATTATCTGAAACAATGACTGTATGCTATCTCAAATACTTCATATGTATCTGATTCAAGCTCTTTGGATCACTTTCCCTTGAACGGAGGTATTCCTATCAGGGATTCCATCGTTTGGGCACAAGTTGGTGGGATTTCCTAATCCTCGTTACTCGGCTCCCCTATCCCAAATTTTCTATTGTATTGTCGATCGCTTGCCTGGTCCATGACGTGTACTATGACATCACTTTAGGCTGTACTGATGTCCTTGAAACCATAAAGAGTGGGGCACCGAAACTCCGATGAATGAGGTGCTTAGTCATCCATTCAAACACACCGTACCTTAACCCCTTTTCTACGCCAATTCCAAAGCAACCTGGCCGCAACAATTTCAAAGTATCCCATGCAAAAAAATATACAACTGAACTGGTCACTTGACGAAAACCACAACTCTTTCAAAAAGATCTGCGCACGGGCCACCTCAAATTTTCTATAAGTAGGGGCAGATTTCCTTACTTTTTCCTTACCTTCCAACCCTCTTCCTCTTCCGCTCTATCATCTTCCAACCCTCCTCCACAAGCTTTAATTCCACCTCCGTTCATGACCAGCTTGGTTGACGAACCCCGGGCGCCTACTGTATTGGATGCGTGCGGGATTATTTGTCCTAGCCCGGCACATTTCCGTTGATCAGAATTGATCCGGGGTGTCCCATTCATTGGTTCCGTACCGGACAGTACTCACCCCTTCTATGAAGGTGTGGCATGGCGGAGAGTGTGAAAGCTTGTGAAAGGTAAGTCAAAGGTAAGGTCACAGTTTCTTTCTTTTCTTTTTTGGGGGTGTTTGGTCGTTGTTTTTTCTTCTCAAACCCAGGGGGTGGAGAGACTTCGCAGCTCGTCTGCGAGGCCTCTCCGCCCCCTTTTTTTTATGTCACTCCATTTTTTCGAACTGAAGTATCCCTGTAATACATAAAAATGATCACTATCAAAGCTAAGGTCTACGATGTCCCGACCTCTATGCATACTTTGAAGTTGTCGCGTTACCACATACATGACGAGTATGTTGTACGCTCTTGCTCCAACCAGAATTCGATGTCTAGAACGCAAGCGAAGAGTAAGCATACGAGCTGCATTCACCAAGATCAGGGTTTGTGTGACGTCTCTGCAAAACACCGCGAGGGTCCTGTCAGAGACCGTGCATCTCTCCGATTCACCCTCTGATATATCCATACCATAGACTCTGCAGAACTCCAAGGAGATGGGTGTCCTCTCTTCTGCTGTAGTAACGAGAGCCATGACAGCACGCAGGCTTTAGTGACACTCACTCGTCGGAGGGCTCACTCTACGCTATTTCAGCCTTGACCAGCTGTCTCGCAAAAACGTGTTGGTTGGGAGCAGGTCTAAGGATGGTCAACATACAAGCTCACATGCATATTTGCATGGATCCATTACTCCAGGATGACATCCTTGAGATGAAGGGGAGACAACCAGAGGCGTCGTTCAGCCCAGACCAATTTTCAACGTCTTACGCCTTCAAGGACCCAAACCAGGCGAAAGAGAGGTAACACCCAAATCACATGGATGCTTCGACGACCACAGACTGATAACGAGAGGTCGAGGGTAAAGACGAGGTGACCGCTTGCGTCCCAAGAATGCTGGGTGAGTCTTTGCTTTGGATACTGCGCCATCGTAATAGACTGACACCTATTATTAGCCGGTGGTACATCAACACCTTGGAGTGAGACAAAAATACACGGTACTTAAATCAGGTCCAAGGTCAGGCAGCGTGACGACTTGACTTTTCGAGGAAGGTATCTTTTCGCACCCTGGACCTCACTTCCAAATACTGCCCAACGGACACCACTATAGAGGCTTTGATAGCTCAAAACCTACATGAAGAACGCCAACGCTTCAATGCGCACAGGAACATGTGTCACAGCAGTGGATCCTTGGGTTGTTGGAGGAATTCGCCTCGCTAGTGGGATATAAGGATCAATCTCCCCTCCATTCATTTGCAGCTCGAAGTGCGCAACGAACACTCTCCTGTATCATTTATCACATGATATACGACTGTGTAATGTGTTACTACTGCTCATCTAGGTCAGAGCCTTTTGAGACATGGGTGTTGGTGAACAACGTAATACAACTATGTTTCAAGACGTGCAACTAAGATTATGGATCATTAAATTACATCGTCTTGAAGGTGAGTTCCATAGACGCGGGAAACACGCGCGTGCAGATTACGGGTCATGTAGTTATGTCGTGATAATA